GCTTGGACTAAAATGGGTCTTTAACGCTGCATTACACCCGCACACTGCCGTTAGCTTCCACCTGCTATGTGTATTGGTCTGTTCTTGTTATTTTCCATTCAGTAACAACAGAATGCAGCAAGTTTTCCCCATTCAAGCAGTATCCAGCCTTGAAGCCCGATAAACAATCACTCATCTTAAGAATAAGGAATTTGAGTTATGGAACATATTTATGTACATTGGTTGCTTCGTATTTGGCCTTTAAGCTATTATAGATGTGAATTAAAGTTATTGAAATGCTAAAATTTTGTCATAGTGTCCCTTACAGGAATCCAAATAATGAACGTGCCCTTTTTATTTCAGCTGTCAATGTTATCAAACCCGTTGTGTAACCGCTTCCGTTGAAGTTAAATGTTGTCGCTTCCGAAGGAAGCTGCGAAATATTTTATGGTTTGATTAACGCCTCCGTGACTAGTGCATTTTAGACAGAAAAATTGTAGCTAGCGTTTCAGTTCACGATAAGACCTCGTGTAATCAAGATCGTTTCTAAATAGAAGACAAGTTAGACCATAATCCTCAATAATATGTCAACCCGTAGTTGTGATTCAAAGCGAAACCTATCGCTAGTTTTTTACTTTTCTTGGTTCCTTTAATTGCCACGTGCTCGTTGTCCAAACTGATATTATTCGTAAAGCTATGATCGCATAATACTTAAGTAGTTTCTTCACGTAATGATTTCAGTTGACCGCTTCGATATAAGAACGCCTCAAAGAATAGGAAAGGAATAGAGAAAGAAAAGATCCTATATTGGTTTGGTGTTAATCGTATGCGCGTGTATCAACCCGGGAATCGAGTACAAATTCTAACTTGAAAGGAATCATTTGCACGTTGGTCTCGCTTGATCGAGTCTCTAGAGGTTATGACAAGGCTAGTCGCAAATGTAACCGAAAGAGGTCCATTATGAAATACATATGCATCGCTCTTTCGCATGTCACTTCTCAAAATCAATTTCATCTTGAAATTATTATATTTTAATGCTGAAGATTTAACGAAAAGAAAATGGCCTTTCAATCGCAAGCGCTTTGACACTAATTATCCATAAATAAAGGATACTGTTTTATTATTTTATTGCTCTAAATAGTCCAAGTTCTTCATCCTTCATCTTTATAAAAGAGAGAACAATAATCCTTCATATTAAATTTTACACGAATTTTGTCTCGAACCTTTTTGTTGATTTCATCTAAAGAAGGCATTCACTTCATTACAGAACAAGACAAAAGGGTGAATTACGCTTTTACGAGTTAGTATTTGTAAGACATATTCTTTAGTGGCAACTTTGATTCTGAAAGCGAACCCATATCTATTTTTTTCTCAAGATGAGCAGTTGTTGTAAGTCAAAGACTTGTCGATCTTTCATTACTACGTCTTGACCAAAGGCTTGATTTCGTGAAGGAGTTTTTGCAGATCATCTTATTAAGTTCGCTCTTCATGTCTCTCTTAAACAACGCATAAGCTATAGGATTCGCAGCCGAATTAACTATGATGAGAAGACGAACTGCGTTGTATATGTCATCACGAGGAGCACACAATGATGTAAAATGACAAAACGAGCTGTAAACCTCCACAGCATAGCAAAGAAGAAAAATAGCCACAACTGATCCGATCACTGTAGTCGAAGCTTTTTGTCGAAGAGTCAACTGAGAAAGGTTTGCGTCTCTTCGGCGATGCCTCTTCGAGATGATGATAACCTGCATGGTAGCGAGCAACAGAAAGGTGCACGGAATAAATTCGAAGATCGTGGTCCAGACTACTGCACTGATCTTAAAGTTTATGCTAAACAATTTCAGGCTGACACAAATGGCAGGAATAAAGTATACTATCATCGGAATCATCCATGCAATTGTCGTCAGTATTTTCGCGCGCGTAGTTGTCATGAGTGTTAAGTAACGTAAAGGTCTGACAATGGCGATGTACCGGTCGATAGCCATGGCGCACAGATTAGACACAGAAGAGTAGATCATGAACACTGCTATGTCATCTCGAATCATCACATTGCACTTTGAGTCGAGCAAAAATTTGCATATTACCTGCCCTGGGTAATAACATGTCCCAACACAGAAGTCAGCTATGGCAAGTGACAGAAGGAATCTGTTTTGTAAGGTGCGCAGTCTTCGACGTGTACGAATCAAGTAAATGACGAGGCCATTTCCAATGATAGCTAATATTGAGGGCAGCCATGCCGTCAACCAGTACCAATTACTCATATTGGAACAGCTATACCTTAAAAAAACTGAAAGCAGAAATACAGTTAATTATTTGGATTCCCTTATTTTCCTGTGAAAATACTCTTAATAAGCTTTCAAACTCGGTTGAGCCGCAATCGTAGGTCAGCATCACGTTTGCATCTCTTATATACAGACAAAAATTAGCATTAGATCGTTAGGGTTTTGTAATGTGCAATCCAAGTCGATTTTTTTCCATCCTTATCTGGTTTGGTACCTTTTTTCTATTCATCTTTATCTTTTTCTAATTTAATTTTACTAATCCTTTCCATCACGTAAATGTCCTATGGTTTTCGCTTACTGTTCGCCATTTCAAATGAAACGAAAAAAAAAATCTTTTGAAACATCTCAAACTGCCCACCTGTTTGGCAGAAAAGATGAATCACTCTAAGATTTTCAAGCTTTTTCGCCCAGTTCTTACTTCACTGGAGTTAAATTTCCGGATTAGCATGACTTATTAGTCACTAATTCGACCTGGAATAAAAGAGAGTATATTGTGGCAAACAATATATCATCCGTTATCAAAGCACGACAAGATACCGGAGTAGAGCTCCTTAGTATTTCCGCTGCTTCCGACAGACAAAAAACGTATTTCATTCCTTTCAGACAATTAAGTATTTTCTTCTGATTTATACTGGACCTGAATAGAGAGGAGACAATGATGTTTTGAACACTATTGTAAACATTGCCAATTTTAATCAAGTTTGCCTTTTTGTTCATTCACAGTTCTTTCAAAAGGTGAAATATTGCACGCATATTTCTTATGCTGCTTTCTATTAAAAAAATTTTTAGTAGCTTTGCTGTTTTTGACAGTTTTCTGACGTGTTTTTAAGGGCTATGGGTAATTAAAGCTCATGAGCTTGCAAATGTGGCAGTAAGAAATCTTGGTATCTTGATCTTAGTTGTGACTTACATATCATAATGAAGACGAGCCGATAATGTCAAGCGAGCGTTTTTTTTTTTGCATTACAAAACTATTTCCTTTCTCTCTCTATGTTTACGTGCAAGGTCACTCTATCGAGGTTAAACCTGCTATGAATTCAAACCTACTCACTGCTTGTTATCTTTAAGGAAATTAACTTTTGATTGGAATTAATGATGCGCCGTTGTAGCTAAGAAACTGCAGCACCTTGTGGTAAGAAATGACTCCTCAAAAGATCAGCTAAATCTGTCAATATAGATTTAATAAATTCACCTTTGTAAATTGCAATTTTGAACTGAAAATCGTTCTATATCTATATTACATGATGCAAACCGGATAGTGGTCGTCCAAAAGAGGTGAAAAACGATACAATAGGTCATTGCGCTCATTTGTTTTTCAAGCGATCTCTGGGCAACCTTTCAGTCACCAACTAAGATTGATGTTCATTTTCCTCCTGGTTAAATTTTCAGGAAAAAAAGTGTTATTTCATCAACTTTATATTGTAGGAGATAAATGCAACTATAAAATCTCTCGAGACGCTTTTCCAAACGATCCTTTACCTCTTGTTTAAGAATTCCATGAAATGGAACAGGAAAAACTCAATGTGTTTTTTTCAGCTCTGTTGAAATGAACACTACGTACTTTAGCATGTCAAGAAACGAATGAACCCTGCCAGTGATAAGCCAAACTGTTATTGGGATTGAAAACTTTGAAGTTTGGCCTTTTTAAATAACATGATATTAAAACTAGTTTATAAATAATTTTAAAATTTACAAAATCGACAAAATATATTTATAACTAGGTCTATTGTACATTATTTATACCTGTATTTAAAGCAAACATAGCATTAAAAAACCACACAATAAAGTTCTTCATTTCACGATTCCGTTGCTCCATTCGGAAAAAGAGAATTCCCGATGTACCTCTTTAAGCGGACTTGTGAGTAAACCAGTCGTGAACAAGCCGCAGAGAAATCGTTTTCTCACTATATTAGAAACTTTCCCATTGTTATTCTAAATGCTTACCGACACTTTACTACCAATCATTTAAGTCACGTCCGGGTGCCGAGAAAGCATTAACACCTTCTGTCGCCCTCTAAAGAACTGAACTAAATTGAATCAACATCTATCAAATCGTAATGACCAATTAGATTGTATATAGTTTTGTTTATAATTGGAATTACGTCGCTCATACATAAAAGGTGTATTGCATCACAAACATAATTTTTGATCTATGTCATTATTCGAATTTTTCATCGATTTAAACTCCGCTCCAAGATCGGAGATCCTAAAAAAACAAAACACAAATTTCTATAGACATCAAAACAGCACTAACAGAGAGGCTAACTAGGAAAGATTTGGATAATCTTCCCTTTAGTGGTTCCTTCAGATGGCATTTAGTCAGACAGTTTTTAATAAAATGATAGATAGCTGTCAATCGACTAATGTCAGTAACTGCCCCACAAAAAGAAATTAGGCAAGTATTAATTATGAGAATCAAACATAAGAAGCTGTCATCTTTTCCAAAAATTAAAAAAAACATGATTTCGTTGTTAATATTCAACACTGAGAAACCGTTGCTACTTATTCAGCCATGAAATCCTCGCTTCTCCAAGCCCATCCAAGTCTGTTTTATTGTGTATCGTATATGAATGACAGAAAGGCTTACCATTTCCATTTATCTAGATATCAAACTAAAAGATGTTTCTAAATCGCTAATAACGGTCAGATCCCTTGCACGATCGTGGTTCTGCGTTACTGGATGCCCGGTAAGCGACTACTCACAATTGAAAGTGGTTGTGGTTTTTGCTGCAGTTCAATGCTCCTGATGTGGCCTTGGTTGGCAACAGATGTTATACCGTCGCCGAATGGTGGAAGGTAATTGCTGATATTCGCCAGTGCCTCCACAAGTTTGTTTAGAACACAACAAGAGCACTTCTCTAGGAAAATGATTTGATAATTATTATAGCTAAACTGTTCAAAGCTCAAAGAGCAAATTGCCTCAGGCAGTACTGCATTGAAAGAGCTAATATTTGAATAAAACAATACAACACCAGCAAACAACATTCTACGGAGCCTGTCGAATGCGTTTGAGGGTCATTATATTTCACTATCTAGTTATTCCTTCCAGAATGTCTCGTAGCCTGTCCGTCATGTATCTTTATCGCGTGTTTAGAAAAAAACGGAAAAAAATATTTATATCTATACTGGTGATCGTCCTTTACGACGATGGTCAGGATAATTTATGCATATGCTAGAATTTTCAAATGACAATATTGGAGGAGGAAACGTCAATCATGACGTCAATTAAAACCTAGCGGGATGCAAAAGCAGTGAATGACATTAAAATTCAATACCGAAAATTGTGTAGAGAATAGGAACTATTGACTGGATGCCCTCAAATGGCAACAAAATAAAGGTTTCAAGATGACAAAAAACATGTTCATTTTATGTATATATTAACCCCACCCCCTCCCCCACCGGAAAAAAAAAATAAAAGGAGACAGAGAGTTCATGAAAACGACTGAAACCTAGAGCTGAGTGATAAAAATTTGTACAAACTTGTGACTAATCCATATTTATTCAAACGTTCTGCCCACTGTTCGGGATGGTACAATTTTATGCTAAGCTCACACTGACTCAGAGCCCAAATGAATTACAAAATGAACCTATTTTGATCTGTGGTCGATAACTAAATGACAAAACTATTCATATGCAGGTGAACTGCAATGGGACCTGAGAAATACAGGGATAAAAGAGGCTTCGACGGTTTTTGATCCTGTGCCTTCCATATGCTGTTTGGGTGCTGCTTCAAATGAGGTACGAGACTGTATGTTTGAGGTTAATGACGAGTAAACGAACAAACAGCAACGAAAGTGCTTTTGGAGCGCGAGAAAAATACTTACCAGTTTCATTTGATCAATTTATAACGAAGAACTTTGATTCCCTTAGAAAATCGCGATGACGGTCACAAATGTATTTAAGTTTTGATACCTTTGTTGTTTCATTCAGAAAATTCATCGAAGAATGAATAATAAGTTATGACCACAATCTTTTCCACGCATAAATTGGCATGGGCGACAAAGTTTTCACGCCAACGAGGGAAAAAGTATTTCGATGGTGAGGATGTTGTTGCGGTTATTTATGGAGTACTTCACTGCAATAACATAACACAAGTTTGTTTTTAGTTAGTGAATCGTCTTTTAGATGGTTTTCATGGAAAATCCACCGAAAAGAAAATTATAATGATAACAACAATAATTGAAATCTAAACGCCACTGTAGTAATGATTTGTGCTCGTGTTAATTTTGAACTTCTTTTCACACACGTAACTATTTCTGCTTGCTGACTGGCGAGGAGCCTGTTGATTAATCCTAAATACTAGGGAAATTTAAAATTTACTGCGAAGAGTTGAAATTCAGAAGAGAAACCCGATCGATCAAGGATGATTGCTAAGAAGCTGTGAAACCGCACCATCGCCAAGATTCGACAAGTGTAAAAACAATTACATTTGAAGAAGGTTATGCAAGTAAATGTAAGAAAAAAGAAAATTGTGAAAGGAGCAGCATTCAAGAAGGTTAAAAACGATGTTATGCCTAAAGAGGATGAAAAAGGCACGGTTCATCCACGCGATCACACCGACGACATCCGACTATCAGATTTTATCTTCAAATTTTAAAATGACATAATTGTTAAGTGCTCAACCTTCCGTCTTCCTTCTAGATACGTGAGGCGGAAAAAAGATGGAGACGAAAAATTTCCACCAAGCTTGAAGCATGCAATGGTTATTCTTAAAACTCTTTTTGCATACATCCCTTCGTATCTATTTTGCTTATCATGACAATGCACTGTAGGAAATATAATTTACCTGTTGGGAGCGCAGCTGGTGAATTTGGCTTCCTTCTCCATATTTAATATCTTTGACGAAAAGAACTTTTCAACGTCCTGTTCTTGTCTTGCACGTCCTTGAAAGGAAGTTTCCTTTGAACAATTTAGCGAACTTTTAATTATGAGTGCTGTCTGATATTGTGGTCATTTCAATTGTTACAAAATCATATCCGTATAATGGATAACAGTGTTATGTCTAGCTTTTGGAAAATATTGGAAAATATGCAGATAGGTATCAGTGACCACAATTGCTCGAGCCAGTTACTAAAAGAAGTCTAACCTAGGCTGTGGTCTCAGACAATTACTAAACCTTGAAAATTTCTTAAAGTAGATTATCCGAAATAAATCATTTTATTCCGGTGGTTGTGTAAGCCCTCTTGTTATTGTTCAGAAAAATGAGGTTCAATTGAAACGGCGTGTGGCTGAAATTAGGCTTGATTTCGAACGTGATTTTCCTACGCAACAATTGAACTTAAGTTTAATACCGGCCTCTCATGGATGAAAATTGCAAGTGATATTCCATATTCATTTTAAATTCCCTTTGCTGAGATGATAGCTTGCTTGAAGTGAATTAACTGGCGAACCTAACCTGAGATGATGTCGAGCACCTCTTAAAGAACAGCAACAGAAAAACTGGAATCGCGCTCGCCACAAGCAATCAAAGCTCCTCAAAGCGAATCTATTTCGTAGAAAAAAAATTAAAAATCAACAAAGCTTATTATAACAGTTGGGGTTACTTGTTAAAGGTTGGTGAATTGCCAAACACCTGTGACATTAAGCAAACGTATTAAGTGACTTCAACTAAAGGAAAGTAAATTGAGCGCTAAGCCGGTTTATAACGCTTAAATGAGGTCTTAACCGTAATTCCGTAGCAGGCAGCTAGTTGCAGATAGCTGATTCAAGGGACACTTGGCAGTCAAATTATCCACACACGGGAAGGAAAATAGACCTTGGATACCTATCTACTTTTCCATGAATTTTTCCAAAAATAAGCGATTTAGCTAAAAACATTTACGGGCGCGAAGTACAACAGAAATTAACTTTAGTTTCGGTTCTAAACAGTATATTACAGTTTACTTTAAAATACAGAGGTCATATCTATGGAATAGCGACAAAAAGGAATTCTATCCAATCAGTATTCATACATTATGCTATGTTTGTTAAGCTTAGTCTAATTTGATTTTCATCCCTTGTTCTAATATTAATTTTAAGAATATTGTATACCTCCAAGTGAAATGATAAAGGAGTTCGAAGCTAATTCTGGTGAACTAAACTGAAAGGCGCTTTTGGATGAAAATTTCTGCAATTGATATTTTGTCATCATTGTCCAATAATTCCATCAACTCTATCATCAAAAATTTTCAGTTTTGGTCATTTTACTTTACCTGTATTCCGATAAGATGGCGCTCAAGAAGTCATTTAATTAGTACAAAATCTATAGTAGAGGGAAAAGATAAAACATTCCCCCTTCCAATAATCTGATTGGCACATTTTAACGCTAATTTTTCTTGACAATTTAAATTCTAGCTTTGAATTCTCCGATTTAAATGTTAATTTTTTTTACGTTGATTTCCAAAGGGCTGTAAGCCCAGCTGTCGATAGTGATCGCAGGACGTCAGCGACGCCATGAAAACAAATTTACCAAACGTCAAAATAAAGAATCTGCATGTACGCAAGAGAATATAAACTGTTATTTTGTCTTGTTGTAAGTCAGTACTGTCGAGGAAACTCTTTTCGCTTACCTCGACTTGAAGCTTAGATTGGTCGAAGGGCAAAAATGGATGAAAGAAGAACTCCCATGGAGGCGAAGCAACAGAAAGTTCAAGTGTACGCGAGAGCTTTTAAATTCACTAAGATACACTAGTGGACTAATATTAATTATCTTTACCAAGAATATTCGATTTTTATCGCCTATGTGCTGAGTGATATCGACCCGATTAAAACTTGAATTCGTATCTTTGGGAGGTAAGGTGTCCTCAAATTCAACTAACTTCATTTGCATTATCTGAAAAGGGTTCTTCGTACGACTCACGGTTAAAATTTCTAATTTGTGAAGGCTTCTGAATATCAGGATGAAACAATTTAATTTTTTAAATTTTGCATAAATACACAGATTTATCCTACACCAATGTAATTTTTCTTCGCATTCGAAGGAAAAATGCACGAAATTATGATTTTATCAATACTATGTCAATGATGTAGTCATAACTATTTTGTGGTTCTAATTTCCTTTTCAATTGGACATCCTCAGACAATTTTAAATTTGTTTTTCACGTCCTAGTGTGTATTATCATAATCCTAGGGAAAGGAAAATGAATGAAATCGATTTGGATTGAAAAATCTCCGCAAAAAGGAAAAAATTAACCTCAACAGTTATACTACATCTGTGAAAAAAGTATGACGTGCTGGCGTCGTAAACGTTTCCATTAGTTCCCGATATCGTAATCGTAAAAGTTTAATCGTATTTCTTTTATTATTGAGGGAGCTATGACTTATATCTCTTTTTATGTATTTTCGCTTTCTCGGCTACCGACTATCTGGTAATGTACTTGACAATCATTTACCTTATGACCCTGGCGTAAGAGGCTGAAACGAGAACACCGATATTGTGGTACACCCTCGTTTGAGCACTTCTTGGATGTTTTTCCAGAAACAGTTGTCTGCGCCTATGGATAGATTCATATCTTTGTTCAACTATGCAGTCATGATCTCATTTATTCCATAAAGTGCTGAAATCATTTTTTCTCCTTTCCAAAAAAGAATAGAAACGCCGAAGAAATGGAGGGAAATAAAAAAAGAAGCCAAAAATATGGGAAGCTGATTACAGTTTAACGTTCCGCCTTTCTTTACTGCCGCAGAGTTGGTTAATAATTTTCAACTAACAAAATCGCGATAACTCTCAAAATTATTCCTTGATGAAAAGGAGAGGAATTGTATTTCTCTCGCTAGTAGTATTTATTCAATGTAATACAAAGCTCTTAAAGAGAGAAGCAAGTATTTGGTTGCAACACATCAAAATGAGACGTCTAGAATCGTTCGGTGAAGAAAAACAGAAACGCGAATTCAATTAGTGGAAAAAACTGATGCCAACAAAATTTATATTTTTTGTAATCAAAGCTGTTGTAATGTCAACAACTTGTCACATAGGGAAAACACGAAACAAATGCAAGTGCCAGGTTATGTGTTTCTGGTACAAAAGGTTAATTAAGCGAAAGAAGACAAAAACAAAACATACAGCTGAGAAACAAAAACAAAAAATGCGTCAAGGAATAAAGGGCGACATGGAGTAGACATAGGTCAGAATCCATTCAGTCTGTTCCAGGTTCCAGGGCTGTGGGTGAGCCACGCTTAGTAGTCGTTGGCGGCAACTCCGATAGCTAAGAAACCGTGATAACCATAAAGTGTGATTTTTATCTCTGCCATTAGACAGTATTTTTATACTTATGCGATTGACCGCTCTTTGAAATTCTAATAGTAACCTGACCTTTCAAAAGCGCATTAAAAAGTGTCCATCTTTCGACGATCTGTTTGACAAATTAGGATTTAAACAAATGACACTGCAGATGATTCACACATGATAGAGTTTTTTCGATAATCACGGCAGCAGATCATGTTTGTGAACTGGTTATTGTGGCCTTGCGAAAGTGGCCAGGTTACTGATATGTTTTCAAAATGGGGGGCATCCCTAGTCGTGAAAACATCCATATGAGCTATTTCATTCATCTGTGACAGTTAAGTTTGTTGAAGAAAATTTTCAAATGATTAGTATACTCCCAAAATTTACCAGAACTGAAGTAACTTTGTATGTAGTATTTGTTTCTTTTAAGGCGGAAAATGAAAATGCCATGTTTTTAGATCAGACTCTTGAAAAGATAGCGCTCATGACTTTGGGTGCACGTTATTAAATGAATCAAGTAAGACTTTTTTTTTCAAAATTATAGCCAAGCGTTTTGTTATTTCTCCCTATAAACAATGTTGACAATGCCAAGTTACACGTTAAGAGAAAAACCTTCGAGAAGTTGTATATACGACTACAGTATATGCACAAAACTGAAAGGTTTGACTACTGCATACTGCTATACTGGCCTTGCGTCCAGAGGACACCTTCTAAAAAAATATGAGCTCTTGGTGAAGCTAATGTTAGTTTTCGAGCGTATTACAATACGCAAGCAAACATGTACTCTCTAAAAAGTAACAAACAGGCTTTGAATTCTTAACACCGAAGCTATACAGAGGGAGTTTAGCAAACAATTGAAGCTACCATCAGCCTTTTAACGTTATAATCGTTTTAAGCGCAGCTTTCGTTTCCGTTCACGTCAGCCTCCGGTATGTAAGCAGAATTTTTGTATCCCGCTCTCTCTTCATTCTTGTTGTTTGACAAACGCGGTTGCGTCCTGCGGGACTTGACCAACAAAATAGCCAGAGCTACAACTGCGATCAGACAAAATCCTCCAGCGCCTGCCACACCACCGATCAGAGCTGTTTGTTTACTTTGACTTGGCTCTATAAAACAACAAACAAGAACGTGTGTCGCTTTCCTGGTGAGTAAAATCATTCAGGTCCTAACCTCTCAGCTGTGATCGTTTCAATCAGCGACGAGGGTCAAGGTCTCTCAGGGAATCAACTTCTGGATCTTGCTTTGCGATTGTTTTTCCTAACAGCCAATCAAATTCGAGAAATCCCAAATGAATAGGACAGATCCCTTTGGTTTTATTGCGCCAGCTAAGAGAATCGTGGCTGTGATACTGAGACAAGACAAAATCTATGAGACGTTATCTTCAGTTATCGCGGAAGGGTGACTACGTGTCTCAAAAGTGTATTTGTTCGTGGTTTTTAGCGTGAGTACATGAATGTTAGACATTGGATCTAAATCTTCATCTTCGCTATGGATCATTACACTTAGATGGTGTCATTCTTCCCTCATAAAATACTAGTAGGTGGTGGTAAAAGACGCAGTCATACGAATGCATCCTTGAACTTTTTTAAACCCGATCGTATCTTAACAAACACATAAAACCCTGTATTAACGAGATATTATTTCTAAAACCTACCGTGATCGAGTAGTTTGCCATCTTTTGCCGCCTTGAACACTACAGGTCCACCTGTAAGAATGACTTTGTTTGTACTCTCTTCTTGCTCTACTTCATCTCGGGTCACTTCTCTCCTCTTTCTTTTGTTCCTAATACAGCCCTTGCTGCACCTGCAAAAGTGTTCGTTGGTTTTGAATTGCAAAAGATTAGCAAGTGAAAAAATTCAATTTAAACAAATCGAAAAAGCATTTCTGAATAGCCACATTTTTAAAGTTTTTATTATTTTTTTACTAGTGAGCCATCTTAAGCTTGCCTAGCCTTTGCTTTTATTTCATCTCTATAAGTGTTTCAAGCCATCCATAAGAAAATACTAATAAACGGGATGGCTTGAATTGGTAATTGCACCGTGATCCTAAACGATAGGTCCAGGTGCTAGCTCTTGCAAGACTATCTTGTTGTCAGTACTTACAAGGGCAAGCCACTTTTCTCTAACATTGCCTGATCGACCAAGGAGTACAAGTTGACAGTAGAGAAATGTCAGGCAGATTTGACGAAGAGTGTTGACACAGGCTAATTCGATGGTGCTCCACGCAGGAAGGATAGCAATACTCCTGGTCGGAGGATGAGGTTGGATAAGCTCCAGCTGAATAGTCCACTTGGTTTGCACGCCAAATATATATGTATTTATTAAAAACTAGATCATTGGATAATGCGATTCAAGACTTTTTATTGGCTTAGCCATTATGGTATTTGAGCCAATATACCATAATCTACAAATATGGTAAGCGTGCGCGTCGGCTTAAAATCAAAAGGGAGCTAAAAAATCCGGTTTCTTCTCACAAAATAACAATTTCTTGGGGGCGTTTTTAATAAAACAATTATATCAGTAACAAGATTGAAACCTTATCATTCACCGAATTCGTCAATCACCTAAAAACAATTCCAGATGTGACATTTTATGGAAATATGTCACGGATTTGATATCAACCAAACAAGAAAAAGAAAAATCGGTTGTGATAGTTGGGCGATCACACTTAGAAGAATGCCTTAGCTTTCAAAAATCCAACTGGGGTAGTTCAGTCCAACCTCGCTTGTTTGCAGTGAAACTGAATAATCTGAAACCTACCTGGAACCCGGCGAATTACGGTGACAGGCCAGCAGCTCACAGTGGAAGTAAACAGTGTCGTAGTCGTTCCGAAATCTAAGCGCTCGGATTTTAAACTGTTGGTAGTATCGGGTTGGATTATAACTGTAGTCAAGCGTTGAATCTTCTGGGCATCTTTCATAAAGAATAAAAAAAAACAACAACAACAACAATGACAACAATAAGAAAATGAAATGAATAACATTGGTAATAGTAGAGCCTCGGTATGGACACACGAAGGCTGGAGATCGGTTCAACAACAAGACCATATAACGGCCTATGACCATAAAATGAATTTGCTGCTTTACTAGCGACACTTCCAACTGAAGAGTTCCAGTCTTGTTATTCACTAGTTTTACTATAAAGGTTGTCTTAACCGCAGCCTTTTTTATCCTTTGCTAAAATCTTATAAGGTTTTGCAATTTTTCAAAGCTTATTACCTGACAACTTGTTCTGCTTGATCATGGTATAATATGTGCTTACCCGTTTTGTAGAAAGGTGTATTGCGGCCACGAATAAAAGCTTACGTCTTTAGTTGCCTTACAGTTCTCAGCCATGATAACCAGGTCAGCTGTGGACGCCACACTGTACTGTAGATACACATACTCATTCAGAGCCACTGATAGAGGGTAGTCCTGCTCTGTGAAAGGCGTGGCAAAAGAAGAATTCTTATAGAAGTCCATCTTGAAAGAGACCGAACCATATCCCGCTAAATAGCGAAAATAAGAAAAAAAGACTGATTCAGCCACTTCCTTATTTTTATCGATATAAACAGGTGAAAAGGTACGTACGAGGAAATTTTCTTAGATATGAATTCGACCAGGTACTTTTTGGTTCATAAAGGGCATTCATGACAAATGTTGAAGGAAATTTCTTTTTCACCTGCCTACATAGAAGGTTGAACCTAATCTTACCGCAAAATTTTCTTAAGAAGTCAAGACTCTCAAGTAAAGGTAGCATGGCTGAGTGGTTTACATGGTTTAAGGCGCTCAATTTGGAGTCTAGAAGTCTAAGGTTCGGTTGGATTGCTCTGAGACTTTTGAAAGTTATCCCCCCTATCTACACGGGTGGCCCTAGTAGCGTGGAGGTTATCGCTGCAGACTCGAGACGAAATGATCTGATCTCGAGCCCCAGCTAGTTCGTTGCAAGACACGACTCTCACAGTGTCCTTCCCTACCACTTGGTTAGATGGGAAGAAAACGGACAGAGAACCCTGATAACTTTCTGGGGGTTAGCCTGCGATTAACTAGCATCTCGTAAAGAAATGAAACAATACTCATGGTCGCTTCATGCTGATGAGACCGAGCTAAAGTCCCCTCTAACTTAATAACCTCAGTGCTGCGGTGTTAATTATATAGAAACTTCAATAAACTTATCTATTTCATTTTAGTAAAGTTACTTTCATTCCCGAAGTAAATTCTCTGAGGTGTGAAGGCCAGGCTCATTAACTTCCTCCTGGAGTAGTGGCAGTAAAATGGCAGCTTTATTTCATGTGTGCGGGTAACCACACCATCGATAATCAGGGCGTCCGCCAGGACCTCATTCCAAAAGATTAAATAATCCTCGGTTTCGTTCCGCTGCGTCCCACAGTTATTTAAAGAGGTGCTGATTAAGAAGTGGGTGGAATTCTCGGTGGCTCTGCATGAGGCATAGCGCAAGCGTAGTTGATTGGCTGTAAAGTAATGGAATCTTTGCTTTTCCAGAGAAACCGTCATTATGTTCTCTCCACAAGAAACACTTGCAGTTTGGTCTAAAATGTGAGAGAAGGTTTTATAAACTTTACGATAATTTCAAAAATTTGTCATAGAGGTTTGCAGTTACTTCACTGACTGGTAACGGACAGAAAGAAATAAATACCTTTACACTTAAAAACTCGCAACGAATGTCTGACATGTTTATTTTTTTACAGCTGTGCTAAAAATTTGGCATCCAAGTTACTCTCCACATAAGACACTTTCCAAATTTGTAGTCCTACAAAATGAAGACCACCAGTGGCATATGAGCCCAACATGTGACTCAGCTCACTAACGGGCTCACCCTTCTTTAGCTGGTAACATTCGAACGCCGACTCGGTGGTCCGGTCTGCATTTGATTTTTACAGGGGACTAAGATTTAATGCTCTACTCTCGTGACAAATCTTGACTTCTTTGTTAATTACAAACATAAATTAAGAAATGTAAATTAGGAACCAAGGGACTTGGACCTCTAAATTGTGAAGATTCCTCGTTGCCTTCTCTTGAAGAAAGCCTGATCTATTTTCTCTTTATTTTTCTTAATCCATTTCTGGCCACATTAGCCATTACTTACCAACACAAGTTAAATTGTTTATCCCCATAGTTAATCCTTTGGGACATCCGCAGTAAAAAGTTCCAGGGATGTTGAAGCAACTATGACTGCAGCCACCATTATTGATGGAACATTCGATGATATCTAAAAAAAACAGCTCGCTGCTTCACCTTTCAGTTTGATAGCAGGACAATAACCGATTTAGAGGAAAAATAGCCTTTATAACAAAGATTCATGCTGAAGAAAAGGACTGAAGATTTAGAGGTGTTTGCCTCTTTCCTTATTAGGTGCAACTTTTTGCAAAGATATCGTCTGTTTCAAGAACAGTCCCACTAATCCTCTTTTATGAGAGCGATGAGAGTAAGTGTTACATACGAAAGGACTGGTACGGAAGTTCTTGTTTTGTTTGTAAAGGGAGTACTATAAATACAAGTACCGGGGACTAAATTATGATTATAAGTCAGTAATTCTAATGTTTCTCACCTGTACAAGACTTTCCGTCCGACTGGAGTTGAAATCCCCTTTCACAAGAACAGCTGTAATTCCCGGGAGTGTTGTCACAGTCCTGATCACAACCGGCTGGTAACGTGAACTCCGGAAAAATATTTGACGGACCTGAAGAGTTCCAATGTACAGAACAAGAAAATTATGGTACATCGGTAACTGAAAACAAATTGTGAAAAAGCAGAAGATTCATGTAGAAAGTCAAAACATTTTCCAGTCCTTTACGACAGGTTGCCCTTCGTTATTGCTGTAAAAGTAACCTGAAGATACTGTCACTCACCTGTAGAACCAGTGTAGGCACATTCATCTATATCTAAAGGGCAAAAAAGGAAAATATATTGAATACCACATTCTGCAAGATACGTGTAAATGGACAGGATGGGTACATAGGTGCAATAGGCCAGTCACACTACGAGGGAAGGATGGGTTAATGCATGAACGACTGGATGACCGAAGTGTACGAATAGAGGAACGGACCCAAAGAGTGACGGACGGAATTCTTTTGGGGGAGATGAAAGCTCAGAATCCTCCAGAAGCTAGTTCCACAGTCCATGTAAATTGTCGTGGAATGTCAATGAATCCGGGGGCACTAACATAAAATCAAAACCCTAGAACTCCACAATGAAGATTTTATCTATAAATTGTTGAGTGTGCCTAGTTTCTATAAGGTTCTCTTTCTAATAAGTAAGAAATATAAAATTTGCGTACCAGCACAGCTATTGAAGTAGGGTGTACGAAGAGAATATCCAGAAGAACAAACACCATTTATGTAGAATCTCCAGTCACTTAAGGATGATATTCCGGGTGTGGGTGTGCCGCCAGAAGAACAGCCTTGTCCAACCACTATTCCTTTATCCATTGAGATTGCGTATAATCCATCCATGCTTAACACAGGATAAGGTATCGCAAATTGCAGAGTAGTTGAATTACTACCGACTGTGACATTTTTAGAGAGAGCTTCTACTTTGTAGAGTGTTTGTCCGCTGGGCAGCAAGACGAGTCTTATGTAAGCTGATGTTCGAGGTTTTTTTATCTGAAGGAAAAATGGCATTCTCGTGGTAAAATAGTTTTTTCTAGATATGATCAAACAGAATAAGGGGGTGAATCAATATATGTTATGCTGTGTCGTACATTTAGACGTTATCAGTTTTGAACAGCTTAAATTTAATATGGAATAGCAGGCGAAGGCTTCTATTTTTTGCATGAACGTATCCTACTTACCCTGCGGGGACACCCCAAAAAAGGTAAATAGATAATCATTACTTGAACTTTGCGAAAAACGCGGGAAAAGATCGACAAGATCTCTTTAATACCTCAAAAAGACAGAAGAAAAGCCAATGATGACGTAGTCAGTTTTTCTTCTCTCTAATGAATCATAAGTAAAAACCGATTTACATAAAAAAGCTAGGCTATTATTGTGAGTATGAACTGGCCAAGAGCTTAATACGTAATGCCAAATATTCTCAAAAGATGAGCGAAAGTATGGCCAAATGTGAACGAACTCACAAATCAGACAAGTTAAAGCAACAAATAGAAAACCGCCCCAAAAGGTTGATTTGAAAAACAGGCTGATCTCAAATGCTATTGATAACACTGCCACGATACTCTAAAAGTCAACCCACACCTTGAGGTTTAAATCGAATAGCAATTAGCACGAGGTTTACAAATGTGTTATCCTTACCAATCGGTCAAACTGAACGCTCCAGCTGGAATAGCCTGATCCATATCTGCTCACGGGTGTTAAGGGTCTACGAGTTGCTAAAATGACTCGCGGAGTACTGCCTGGAAAAATGGTCATTGATCATCAATTGCTGAACCTTTATTTGCGCATTGAAATATCAGTGAACATAGTCCTTTAGGTGGTAGTTCAATAACATTTTTGTATGATACTGCTACTCTGCCTATAAGCCGTCTCCTGCAGGAATGTCGCTCATATTTTGATTCTTTTCCCCATTGCCAGAAATTTGGGACAATATGGCGGAGGCGGTTCTCGTGTTACAAGAAAAATGGCGCTGAAACAGTATGAGAAAATGTGTGGGAAAAGATTGTTTCTTCAAAATAGCTGTATAAGAATGGGATATTCTTTCGCTGCGTACTTGGAAATGCAGCCTACATCGGTTAAAGCGTCAATCGCTACGAAAAAGAAATACTCAAATTCAAGCCTACCTTTTCCCAAGGTATACGAGCAAACTCATTCTGACTCCAATTTCCCATACAAACTCTTAAAATCTGCTTCGACTCGCCAATTTTTTAGTCGTGGGAACAACCTTGTGAAGATTCGCAACTGCGCAGTTCGATATGCATTCTGCAGAAGTTTGCTCAACTAAACCGCTTGTAAACGGTCGAATATATTGGCCCACAAATTTTCCTTGAGCCGGGAGACTCTTCGTATTTTCACAGAGCTTTAAAGCCCAATACGTCATTTTTAAATATCTCAATTTTAGGAAGGAAGAACACGAAAGATACAAGTCCTTGTAACTGCACAATTTGGCCGCCATTTTCCTAGTTTTGACGTCTCCTTTGGCTTTCTGGGATAATAAGATACCAGGCCTTTCTCTGGCGGAGTTTTACGAAAATAGAAAGTTAAGTGTTCACTTCACTTCCACCGCCGCCATATCGAATTGTCTGTAATACGATATACCACTGACATTTCGTAACGGGCTAGAAATGTCTCCGATTTCTGGTGATGCCTTCCTACTCAATAGGATGCATGGCAATAGGATGCATGACAAACAGCAACAACTTTAAAGACCATTAGATTCCCAAAACTAAGCGTTGTAACGAAAGTTAACGCGAATGATACCCCAAACAGGAAGTCATTAATATGAAAACAATCTAAATGGAAAGTATATTGGAAGACATCTCGAGGTTCAAGTATTTTCAAACTTTCAGATACTACTCCAAGTACAGATGGCTATTTAAAGGAAACTTATTTCAGTGGTTTACAAGTCTGTCTTAAAGCTGCAATTCCGACTACTACGTTTTCTATTCGATGAAAGTCAATGGGTAACTGAATTTACATACGTAGCAGATTTCTTAATAGGGCAGTTACTATTACTGCAACGCAACATAATTTCTGCATTAAGTCTGACTATAGTTTCGATTCTAAAGAAAAAGAGTATTTCATTTCCTTACTCATGCCAACGAGAATTGTCACACATCGCCAGTCACTTTCCAGTCTGTAAATATATACAGTTTATAAGTATAGCAAAAACAATCACATAGACAAATAAATAGATTACGAAATCATTACTTTGTTTTAAAGAGATATCAGAGAGCGAAGAATTTTACGTTTCAACGGTAAAGCCATACATCAGCCGCTACCTACCCTTTGCCACACACACAAACGCACGAACCTGAAAGATTATGTTCCCATAAGTCGTCGATTTGTCATAGACGAATAAATATCTGTCCGGAATAACTTAGGGTCATATCAATTGCGATCAGGTTTACAACTATGGTGCAAATCATTAACCAAAATAACTGAAAAACTGTCTCCAAAAACTTTGTGATAAGATCTACAAATGAAACGTTTAGATACTTCATGAAACGAGAATTCTTCAGTCGAATGACTTCTCTGGGAATGATGTACATAACACCTTTATTTCTTACCCAGCAGAGTCTACTGCCTTAAAGCAGAAAAGCTGCTGTCCTATTTGATGTTGACTAGGGTACCACGTGACATTCCTGTAGTAGATTTGTCCTTGATTACGTAATGAAGTAAGTTGCATTCCACTTGGAGATGCAGTGCTTATTTCCACAATTCTGAAATGATTGAATAGAATAACACTTGACATAGATGATAATGACCTCTAATACCGAGATTTTTCAAGCTTCTTATTAAGATTAATATCTTGTCACGTGACCAGTTTTACTCGAGTAGATATTTGTGCAAACCACGGAAGCGTAACTTGCTTCTCGTTTTCTCTTTTCTCTATAGAAATGCTTCTTCATTTTAATAAATTAAACGTAGCATAATAGGATTTTTTATGGTAGTTTACATTTAAAAATTTAAAAATTGGTCGTAATTCATGGGAGATTGTTACTTATGAGGATTTTCAAAGATAGGTATTTGTGCCCTGAAGTGGATATAAAATCGAAGAGAAAAAAATAATCGAAGCCTAGTGGTTATGTTTACGTACGATTTTGAGAAATCTGCCACTTGTACTTCGATTACTGCTCTATAAGAAGAGCCAATCGGGACATCGGAACATTCACCATCTTTTGGGGTCGTTGCTGTGAAGACAGGTTTTTCGTCACAATGACCAGCATGATTACCCACAACCATGACAAGAAACTGTAATGGTATACTGCTGAACGGTGTGACGCTGCCAAAGTTTGTTGTACCCGCTGGGAAGTCTTCTAGAGATAATGCTATCGCATAGATTCCACCAACTGCTGCTTGCGACCCATCGTATGTTAGAAGACAAGATGTCTACAAAAGAAACTTTAATTTTTAACTCGGAAAGCTGTGTAATTGCAGCCATCTGATAAGTTCCTTTCGAGTTAATATGAATGATGTGGGGTGGAATCAGCATAACGGTCTCTAGTTGATAAGTTTATCTATTACAATCTTTTTGAAAATATTGAAGGGCCGCAGCCAGTGTGGAACATAGTTGAAATTTAAAAACGATCTCTCGTTAAAATGATTAAAAACTACGAGCTTTCGACTGCCCGAACTGCAGTCTTCGACGGGTAAAATGAATGATAAGAGAGCGATGAGAGAATTTTAAATAAAGACATAGACCACTTTCACAAATGGCTGCCGGATTAATATTCCTTTGTTTAAATTTAATAATCTTTCAGCTAGAACCAGAAATACATTAGAAGTGTGGCATACCAGAGTGACACCTAACGCAGATAACAGTTCTTGCTCGTTACCTGGACAATACAACATTCTTTTTAACAAATATTCAAAATCATTTACATTCTCATTATTTCGCAGTTCATGTCTTAATTTAAAATTCTCTCATCGCTATCTTATCATTCACTTTACCCGTCGAGGACTGCAGTTCGGGCACTCGAAAGCTCGTAGTTTTTAATCATTTTAGCCATAGATCGTTTTTAAATTTCAACAATGTACTCTTTTTGTTTGATAATGTACAATGTAAACGTACTTTAGCCGCAGTTAAGGACTGTATCAACCGGCATGCGCAATTGGTACAGCTATGTTTATTTCTTACGAGCAAAAGTACATAACATCAAACATGTTAAAAAATGATTTATGTTCGACTAATTTTTCGTAATTTTTCCTTTGGAAACTCATTACTTCTTTTCTACCGTGTCCAGGAAAATTCGCTTCTGGAACACCGTTTCGGATAGTCTAAACCTCGAAGCGAAATTTTAGACACAAAATATCAGGAGCATTTTAATTAGATTTCAGTTCTACTTTCAATTACCTCATCCAATTCACCGTAAGGAAAACTTGTATTGACCTTGAAGGACTCTGAATAAGTCGCAAAGCGACATTTCACTGTATCTCCATCTGGGTCTTCAACTGGGATCCTAAATGACTGACGGCAACCTCCTGGAAATCGAACAATGGGTGGGCTTCTTGTTACAGGAGATGAGTTAATTTTGCCGTTGTCCCATCGTGGAGCGAGATTTATAGCAGTCTCTACTTTCCAACTTGAGGAACCAGCATAATGACTCAGAGAAATCCAACAGCAACCTGAATAACTTATAAAAAAAGAGAAATGGCATCCTTCCGGTGAACTTTTGCTCTTGTTTTGGTTTTGAATTTTGTTTATCCAACCGCAACTGGAGGTCTCAAAGTTAACTTGACTCTTGCTTCTCTTTGGTCTAAAAATTTCTATTTTACCAAATATTGTACATAATGTAAGCTACATTAATGATTTAAATTTAATTATTTTAAATCTCCCTTATACCGGTGGTTTAACGTACCTCACATGCCATTGCTTTTCGCTGTTGTGGAAAGTGTAAGTAAAGTTATTTTCGCCCACGGTCCAATCCTCAGAGACACTATAATCAGTGCAATAGAAGTAGGTGTTTGAAATGGCATGCGAAGACCCACATAGTGAATTATACGAATTATCACATTTTGTATTCCACGAGCCTCCGTAAGATATAAGTTGACTGCTGCTTATCATATTCTGGTCGCAGTTGAGATTAGAGCTGGATGACCGTCTCCACCCGATACGAAATGAAAAATGTACCTGAGAATAAACAGGCAAATGACATAAAGTTTGCCAGCTAATACTCATAGTAGGCTAACGATATAAGTCACCTCGCATAAAGTGGGAGGAAAACATAAATATGCATAGTTGCGTGGCATCATCGGCTATTCCTATTTTGCATAAAGTAAAGTGTGAATAGTCGATCTGCATGGAATGTGGTATGTTGGGGTAGTTTAAACACGAAGGCGCGCTATATAAGGAAGTCTTCTCTGGAAAAACCTAGGCTCATTTGTCACTCACCGTTGACGNAGTTGTAGCTCAAGCTGACTTGACTCTAAGAGTTCTACATCACACGACGGTTGATTGGTAAATGGTCCAGTGGGACCTAAGGCTCCTTTTAAAGCGCGCCTTCGTGTTTAAGTTAATGATTGAACAACTACGTTTGGAAGTAATTTTTGTTCACGATCAGTTCTTTATGATATCATGACATTCCAAAATGACTCGAATCGACTCGAAATGTAGGAATCCCAAAGTCAAGATGAGAGATAGCCTTTAATTACAGGCAAGCTCAGTATAAGATATTATTTGTAACACTAAACCTAAATCTCTTGCTCCTTAGGCAAGAAGAAGTTGTTTTGTCCTCGCGTGGCTGATGCAAGTTGGGGAAATATTCCTTTGCGAGATATGGTTAAGAATCGTGGGAACGGTTCAGGAATTGTTGCAGTGAGTTGTTTTTGATCTTTTTGTGCAATGATGCGAAGCTACTTTATATATGTGTATTTTGCACAATTACACATTGATAAAAGAGAAGGAAAATATTTGCTATATTTTTCTTGAATCTAGGAAAAAGGGCTTTTTTGGAAAAGGTATGTTCTCTCTCTGCCCAGTGCGATTGCGTGATGAATTTGAACAATTGATATACAGGCAATCTCTTTTCTTATGAGCTGAATCTATACAAATTTCTTATTAAAGCGATATCCTTTCCTAAAGATACGGATAATCTAACGCTTGCAACGGAAAAACTGCATAATTCATTTGTTAGAACTCTACTGTCTCTTTGAAACCTGAATTTAAGATAGTCCTTCATACTAAAATTATGCATGCTGACAGGAAGTCCAAAGTATGACTTTAACTATGGCGTTATTGCTGAAGCTAACAATTGATCTGCGCGAAACGTGCAGCATCATCTGAAATTTTTTTTTTTTTAGAAAAGCGACACACTGCATGGGTTTCTTGGTGTGAAATGAATTGTAAAGAGACTGAAAATAATGATCGAGATGCCTTCTCTGCGAAATATTTCAGTTCAACCGGGAAATATTTCAGTTCAATGCGAGAAGGTCAAAAGAAAACTATGGAAAGGCTTTCAAAGATGGTTTGAAAAACAGGCAACACAAGGCGATCAAGATAAGTTACAGATGGTCGAACTGCCACCGGTGCACATCATCACCTTTTTGTTCGAAGATCAAGAACTTTCGAGGTGTTATTGAAACCGCGGAAGACACTCAGCTTCACCTGAATTTTAACTAAGGTGTCTCAAACTTAAGTTAGAGAAACATCATTTGTTCATAAGACAAAAAAGTAACCTTGTTTTTACCGTTTTTAGGTCTGATTATTTAAACACAGGTTGTGCTTACATGACATCGTTACCCGAATTTGACAAATCTTCTGATTATTTAAACACAGGTTGTGCTCACATGACATCGTGACCCGAATTTGACAAATCTTCTGATTATTTAAACACAGGTTGTGCTCATATGATATCGTGACCCGAATTTGACAAATCTTCAGCCTGCTGTGCCAATTAAGTTGCACTTGAGTAGGGAATTGACTGTGCTGATCAAATTTGCATTGTTTTCGTGTCAAATGTGTCTAGTGCACTTGTTGAATTGTCTTAAAAATTATACCTTGGGCCTACTGTTCGTTATCTTATTCCTAGACACACAAAAAATTTTTGATTATCGGTTAAAATTAAAAAAGTTCATCAAGATAACTTCAAAATACCACCAAAAGACAGAGGGAATCCAGCTATTGGGCTAATTTAGCATCCGTACAAATTTTAAAAATTTGCAATTCATAAGTTTTTGAAGGTGTGATTTGCCGATTCTTTGACCTTTTCGCCTCGCTCCGTTAGAAGAAATCGGCATTAGTAAACGTAACGCCTTCATTTGGTAAGTAAAAGTGCACCCTGGAGTAGTTTTGAACTGTTATGAAAGAATTAATGAGCACTCTACCGTGTTGCTGTTGGAATCGTCTGGAGCCCACATTATGCTGCCGTGTCGAAAGTGCGATGCTTCTGTCAATGTACCTAAAGCTGAAAAAGCAAAAATCCATATTGCAAGAAGCCGCATCGCCATTTTTTTGCCCGCAGGTTTCGATTTAAACTGAAAATCGAAATGCGCGAGCGCTATGTGCTCGCCTTGTAGGGTTTAGACCAAAAGCCGTGGTCCTTTGAGATATGGCTCTTTTTATATCTTTCCAACACAAATGAAGAGCGTTGGTGGTCAACCAATTATCTGTCAACTTTTTTGACAATTCATGACTTGATGGGTTTAACAAAAGTACAATTGTACTCGCCCGTGTTGCTTAGGATAGGTTTTGTTGCCACACAATAGCTTCAGATCATAAGGAAGATGACTGTGCGTTGTGGTCAATTATGACATGACTCTTGAAAATGTGTCAAATATCAGCCACCAAAGTTTTTCTTAAAATCACCCAATAGAGAAGAACTTATCCCACCGTTTTGCTACAATAGATATTCGTTGATTCGAGATTATGTACTATTAAATGACTGCATGTTGTTATATGTTTAACATTAACTGTAGCTATATCATATTGGGACCTTTACTAGAATGCTTCCTCATTCCACGTTTATGATCTCATACAACACCTGCGTAGTTGTGGAACGGTCTTCAGTTAGCTTCAGCTCACTCGGATGGGCTACCTGTGCTTCAACTTTAATTAAGCTAAATTTGGTCAAACAATCCCGGAATGGGGTCTCCTATAAGAGCCTTTCAGCAAATACCAGCTCTAAAGGAAGCAATGGTGTCTCAATGACTACATTGTGCGAAATTTTACGTTTTGATCTCAGAATTCAACGAAAAAATTATGTTGCCAGTTGCTTCGCAAAAGCTCTGTCCGTGACTGTTCATGCCATTAACTTGAATAAAATAGTAAAGGAAAAATATCTTTATTTTAGATGCGATTCTCGCAATCAAAGGAGTATGGAAATACTAGTTATTTTGTTCGTTGAAACTTGCCAGTGTTCCTCGAGTCTGTGTACAGCTAGATACTAGGCTCAGTTTTTCTCTCTGGGGGCTAAGCATATCAATCAGAGACGCTTTGTCTTTGTCGATTATCTACTTCTTAGTTGATTATCAAATTTTAGTCGTAGATCAGTTTAGAATTGAAGTTAGCATTTAACAGGATGTTTCGCACACCCGTTTCCCTAACTCAACGGTCATTCTCAATAACTGAAGCTTTCATATGCTCATTTGTATTTTCTCTACATCAAACGGAACTGGACGTCATCATCAGCGACGGTGCTCGGTATAAACTAAACCACATTATTGTGGTCGGCTATTAACCTGCGTTGTTTGTCTGAAAACCGCGCGTAGCCGTGATGTAACTTTTACATTATGTTCGGAAGAACGGGAAGGCTTTTAGCATGCATATGCTCCCCTCTGAGAGTAACTAAAGGTTTAGAAGGGTTGCAATTCGTCGTGTAATATCATGTGCCACAACATCGTGTAAAACAGCTATCCGCGTCAATGAGTTGAGATCATTATTCAACAATTAGTTTGTTAAAAGCATGAAAGTTAAATGTATCATCATGATCATTGGAGTGTTGAAGTTCCTTCACCTTGAGGAATCTTGTGTTTGACAAAGGAAACTATGAACAGTCCCATTTAACACTTCAAAAATACTTCAACTAAAAACCACGAAAATTGGCGTGATTGTTTGGTATCCAATCATGGTCATTTCAGCGCCTGAGGTATTCTAGTTGCGGTATTCTTTCAACTGAGTCTCCTGTATCGGATACGTGCAAGTGAAATCAATGTTTCACCAGAATCTCACGCCTTTCAGCTTTAATTTCATGGCCTCCTCAATTTTTGCAATACATGCCACTGTCATAAACTTGCTTGTTGCTCATCGTGGTTATTTAAACGTATTCACTCTTTTTCAAAATATTTTGCTACCAAAAACACAGGAACTATTAAAGATGATATCGTTTGACATTAAGAGCAATGTGAGAAATTAAAATAACTTCCTTCATGTTATCATTGATTTACTTTCCTCACTCTGTGCGCTAATAAACATCAAAAAATTTAACATGAATTCAATAATTGTTTTCTTCTGGAAAACTTGGATAGTTTTTGTCATCCATCACTTGCTACTAGTTGTGGTAAAAATCTCTAGCAAGAAAGCAAAATATCGTGGAAATTTAAATGAGTATCTTTTCATGGGTCTTCCATATATACATGAACCCTCTGGGTCTTATCGTTAATGGTTAATAGTTGATCATTGAAAAACGTTTTGTGTATAAATGATCGATAGTATTGACAAGTCAAATGGACCGTCTACCTCTTCATTTGGGATTCAAAATGAGGCTCTCAGAGAAAGCCATACTAAGGAGTTCAGTTTTACAAATTGTAAATACCCCTGAATCATAAACTCTGTATTTTAAGTCGTAAGCCGGATTGGAACATCTACTGCGCATCAAAATGTTGATAAGAAACAAGATGTTTTGTCGTGCCCTTAACTTGGTACATTCGGTACAGTTACCGGTCGATTCGCTAACTTATGAGGTCGATTCGCCAACGTCTAATGTCAGTTCGCCAACGCTTATATGTCAGTTCACCAATGTCCAAAATAATTGTAATTACAAATGTCCATAGGAATGAATTTTTCTTTTGATGTATTCATGAGTGTTAGTAGGTTAATATCGTTTGAAGTAGCTCGTTTCACTCTCCCCTATCTTTCATTTCCTCGACGGCTGATCGTGATTGAAAAAGACTTTGAAAACCATCCAAGGCTTTTAAGAGCGGCCGTCAATAATATCGCCTGGAGGTGTGCAATATGGAAATATCGAAAACCCCAAACTTTGCCAGGATATAGGTTTGGATGAGCTATTTCTAAAAAAAATACTTTGAGTTCAATTGCATTTTTATATTTCGCGAACGGCGGCAAAATCGGTTTTGTGGCTCTCATGCCAGCTGCACGAGGTTTAGACAACCATTATTTGAACGTCCCTTGAAAACAAACAAAACAGTAAATGTGACCAAAGATTTTCCTAACTAAAAGGACGCGTATTTAAAAATAGTCAGAAGTGTTCTTCGTTCGATTCCGTTGCAGTCTCAATTTTTGGGGAATTTTTGTTTTTTTTGAGTATTTCACTCATTTTGGCGGACAAAAAATGGCAAAATTGAGAGTGTCAAATCGCACCTTGATACACGGCATGAGGTTATATCAAGTTAATCCAGCAAAAGAACAAGGTTTCTACTTCAAATAACTCCAATAAATTTTTGGGCTACTCAAACTACGAAATTTTAGGACCCCAAGCAAAAGTGAGTGATACAGAGGTCAAAACGCGCCATTCCTTGTCACTCAATTGGAGTTGAAAAATCA